GTAAAAAGGTATTTCATGAAAAGTGCAAGATTTTCACGCCTGCTCGTGTAACTACAACAATGGCTTCATGAATTTCCTTTTCTTTTTTCACAATGGCCCTTATACTGGCTTCATTTATCTTGAAATGGTGGGCATCCAGAGCTGCAGACCTCAATCTATGGTACATATCAAACAATTCAACTTTTTCTTGTAATGTCATGACTTTTCTCTGGTTCTTGGGAGCATTTCCAACATAACTGGTGGCACTTTGTATGGGTCCCATGGTGTAATTCAGGATTTACAGTATACACAAAATAAGATGAAAAAGTATGTGAGAACTGTGACAGCTTTTTGTGATACACAATTTACTAGAAAAAGGAACTGCTCACATAGAGATGATTAGTATCACATAGCATTTTAAGCAGATACTTCCACACTTGAGGTCACTGCAATAGCTACAGGAGGTGGCAATGAAATTATTACAGCGGTACAGTATTACTACAGTTAATTTTATGCAGTTATGATTTAATACTGCATCTTTACACTTGTTTGCATTTCTCTCAACTGTGAATGCTGCCATATTTGGTCTGTATGTGCATAAGAATTAATAAATTTTAACTTTTTATAATAGATTTGTATATCTTTTATGGTACTAAGTGATAAAATCATCTCATTTCTATATATATTTTATGCACTCATGAGATACCTAACTTTTTCTTAATTTTCCTTCAGTGTTTCTAAGCTTCATGATTTGTTTACAGGATTTTTCAAATTGTTACAAATCTCTAAAATATTCTTCAATATACTTATTGAAAAAAAGGCACATATAAGTGGACCTGCACAATTCAAGTCCATGTTATTCACTATCATTATCATTCATCACTGATACTTAGGTTGTTTCTGTATCTTTTTCCATTCTTTACATTTACTATTTTACCACTAATTATGATGCTTACTAGGGTTTGCTTATATCTTTATTGGGTCAAGGAAATTTTCTGTTATTCCTAGTTTTTCAAGAAGTTCCATTATAACCTAGTGTTAAAATTTACCAAATGCTTTTTCTACATCTATTACAATGATAATATTATACTGTATTCACATATATTAAAGCAAGCTTACATTCCTGGGTTAGATCTCATTTGGCCATTGAATATTAACCTTTTGATATATCATTGAGTTGGACTTGCTAACATTTCATTAAAAATTTTTGTTTTTTTGCTCATAAGGTTTTTGGTTTGTAACTCTCAAAATGCTTTAGTCATCAGGGTGAGAGAGGCCTTATAAAATGAGTTGGAAAATATTTACTTTTTCTCTTTTTATTTTTTGGATTAGATAGAATTGGTATTATTTCATCCTTAAATGTTAGATAGAATATATGAATGAAGCCATCGGGGTTGGGATTTTGTATGTGTGTGGGAGGATGGGGGAGTAAGAGGGACTGTGAATCAGGAATTAGATTTCATTAAATGATATAAGGCTATTAAAGTTTTGTATTTTTCCTTGGGTCACTTTTGGTAATTTTTGACCAGATTTTAAAATTTATGTTGTCAAGTTTACTGACATAAAACTGTTTATAATATCCTCTCGCTATCCTTTTAATGTCTATAAGATCTGTGTATCTTCCTTCATTTCTGATATTGATAATTTATGTTTCCTCCATTTTTTCTTGCTCAATTTTTTAAAGAGTTTGTTGGTTTTATTAACTTTTTAAGAACCATGGCTTTGTTAATTTCTTCTGTTGGTTTGTTTTTTAAAAATTTTTGTTAATTTCTGTTCTTTGGTTTATTATGCATTTTCTATACTGACATTGTATTTCATTGTCTATTGCCTTTTTCAGATGGAAGTGGAAATCATTGATTTTACACCTTTTCTAATATGATCATTTAAAGCAATACATATTCTCTAAGGATTTAGTTACATGTCACAAATTTTGATATGTTTGTTTCCTTTATTATTTAGTTTGGAGTATTTTCTAACTTACCTGTGAGTTCTTTTTTGATCCTTAGATTATTTAGTAGTTGTATTATTTAATTCCCCAAATATATGGGAATTTTCTAGGTTTCTTTTTGTTATTGATTTCTAAATTCCATTTGATGGAATAACATATTCTGGATGATTTCATCCTTAGAAATATTGGGTCATCATATATGGTCTGACTTGGTGAATGTTCCATCTGCCATTAGGTAAAATACGTATTTTGCTCTTGTTGGTGAAGGGTCTATAAATGTCAGGTGATAGTGTTCATTTATTAGATGCATATACAGTTAAAATTGTTTTGTCTTCTTGAGTGAGTGACACTTTCATAATTTTTAAATGTCTGTCTTTTTCAAAGAGAGAGAGAGGCAAACCAAGAAACAGACTCTTAACTATAAAGAACAAACTGATGGTTACCAGAGGGGAGATGGGTGAGGGATGGGCTAAATAGGTGATGGGATTGAGGAGGGCACTTGTGATGAGCATGGGGTGTTGTATGAGCATACAGTGTTGTATCAAAGTGTGGAATCACTATATTGTACACCTGAAACTAATAACACTATGTTAACTAACTGGAATTTAAATAAAAACTTCAAAAAAGCACTGACATATAATAAACTTCACAGAGCACAACAACAAATGCCTGTCTTTTTCCCTTCATCTTGAACACTATTTTGTCTGATAATAGTGTAGCCTAGCATGCTTTCTTACATTTAAATATATGCATGTTTTTCCATCCTTTTCCTCTCAGCTTGTTTGTGTCCTTATGTTCTGTGTGTTTCTTGTAAACATCATATGGTTATGTGTAGCTTTTTTATCCATTCTGACATTCTCTGTTGCAGGGTAAATTCTAGCTGGACTAATTTAAATGTAAAAATCACACCAATGCAGCAGTAGAAGAAACTATGGGAGAAGTTTAAAATAATTCTGGGGCAAGAGGAGGTCTTTCCAACTATAACACAGAACCCAGAATCCTAAAAGAAAAGATTGATGAATTTGACTATATAAAATGTTTTTAATTACAAAACAAACCATGAGCAGTTAAAGGCAAATGACAAGCAAGGGGAAGTATTTGCAGTTTATATCACAGCTACAGGACTTTTTTCCATACTCCTTATGGTGTTCCTGCAAATCAATAAAATAGAAAATAAAAACTTAGAGGCGCCTGGGTGGCTCTGTGGGTTAAGCATCTGCCTTCGGCTCAGGTCATGATCCCAGGGTCCTCGGATGGAGCCCTGAGTTGGGCTCCCTGCTCAGAGGGGAGTCTGCTTCTCCCTCTCCCTCTGCCCCTCAACCCCTATTTGTGCTTTCCCTCTTTCTCTCTCAAAAAATTAAATAAAATCTTTTAAAAAATGGGGAAAGGATAGGATAAAATAGTTCATAAAAAAAAAGAAATAGAAGCATCTTTTGAATATATAGAAAAATTATTGACCCTTCTTAAAACAAAGTAAACATATTCTGATAGTACTTTTTTTACCTATCCACTATCATAAAAAGATCAACAGGTTTGATAATACTTTCGGCAAGGGCACTGGAAACGTTCATTCTTACATATTGTTATTGAAGTGTAAATTGACATAATTTTTAAAGGAAGGCCTTTCGGTAATCACTATCAAAATAGCAATTTACATCCTTTAACCAGCAACTTTAGTTCCCAAATTTCTCCTACAAACATACTGCCCATGTACAAAATTTGCTATGTACACTTTTATTCATTTCAGCATTGTTTGTAGTTTTAAATATTGGCAACAATACAAATATATCTCACTGGGTACTGATTAAACAATTATGGTACATCGGGCGCCTGGGTGGCTCAGTCATTAAGCGTCTGCCTTCAGCTCAGGTCATGATCCCAGGGTCCTGGGATCGAGCCCCGTATCAGGCTCTCTACTCGGCGGGAAGCCTGCTTCTCTCTCCCACTCCCCCTGCTTGTGTTCCCTCTCTCGCTGTGTCTCTGTCAAATAAAAAATAAAGTCTTTAAAAAAAATAAACAATTATGGTACATAGTACTAAAAGGCAGAATATTCTACAACTGTTAAAATAGTGAAGAAACTGCTCTTTATGTACTGGTATGGGACAGGCTCCAAGATATGAAATTAAGTGAAAAGCAAAAGATATAAAACTGATAGTCTATTATTTGTATAAAGAATAATATATAATAAGTTTTTGCAAATACTTCTAAAAAGATGCCAAGCAATAGGTGATATAGGTTAACTCTTCTAGAGAGGACAGGTGGATTGCCTGGGACAGGTGGGAGGGAGATTCTTTTACTGTATACTATTTTGTGTCCTCTGAATTTTGAACTATTTAAATGTATTATCTATTCAAAACAGTGAAAAATACTTCCAAAGTTGTAACAAGGTAAAATATCTTGTTAATGTATCTAGTTTGTTACTTCTAACCTGTTACTAAAATCTAAAATCAAGATCTTGTTTGTCTCCCTTCTACTTTCATTTGAAGTTTGATTCCTTTCTATTGACAGTAAAAACAAAACAAAATATTTGACCCCTGTATAGGTACTGGTCAGTAACCGCTTACTGAGCCCCAACTCCCACCTCACTCATCTTTGTTTTAAAGCTCCAACCAGAGGGCGGATGTCTTCTTTTTCTTTTTTTTTTAAGATTTTATTTATTTATTTGTCAGAGAGAGAAACAAGCAGGGGGAGTGGCAGGCAGAGGAAGAAGCAGGCTCCCTGCTAGGCATGGAGCCCGATGTGGGACTCCATCCCAGGACCCTGGGATCATGACCTGAGCCGAAGGCAAACGCTTAATGGACTGAGCCATCCAGGCATCCCAGAGAGTGCCGAAGGCAAACACTTAATTGAGCCATCCAAGCGTCCCAGAAGGTAGATAGTCTTAAGAAGAAGTATTTTGTTAATTCTCATATCATTCAGATACATTCTTCACAGTGTATGTGTTTAAATGTTGGCGTATATGTGATATAGAAAGAAGTGGTTGGAAAACAGTTTTAGTGCATTTCAATTTTAAATATTTGGGGAAATGACCAAAAAGCTAGAAGTGTGATGATAGTCTTATTTTGTCTTTTAGATATTAAGCACCGCCGAATACCAATCTTATTCTTTGCAAACAAAATGGATCTTAGAGATGCAGTGACATCTGTAAAAGTGTCTCAGCTGCTGTGTTTAGAGAACATCAAAGATAAACCATGGCATATCTGGTAATGTTTTATATTTACTCTTCATTTTAGCATTCTGAAAAAAATCTCTGAGCTTCAGTTCTTCCCTCTTAAGCTCGTTGTGTAAGTCATCTAACATGATAGGATGTAAGCTAAGGATTTAGTTGTATAGAATTGTAGCAGTGCAGGTATTCATGAGTATATTATTATTAAAACTTTTTCCAATCTTGGGGCGCCTGGCTGGCTCAGTCAGAGCATGCAGCTCTTGACCTCAGAGTTGTGAGTTTCAGCCCCACATTGGGTATAGAGATTACTTCAATAAATAAATCTTTAAAAAAAAAAAAAAAAAAAACTTTTCAAATCTTTCTGAGGATACAAAAATATAAACAACTCTTTAAAAGAATAATTTAGCCCATTTACCGAGTTTCAAACACACTGATTTTCTTCTGCACATTGAATCAGCCAACCACAATCCCATCTCAGGACTTTTTTGTACTTGTTAGTCCCTTTGTCTGAATCTGTCTCCAAAATGATTTTCCTGGCTTGCTATTGTACTTCCTTCAGGAGAGAGACCTCTCCTGACAGCCCTTCAAAATATCATTTTATCTTACTCCAACTCTTGCTTTTTTTTATACACTTTGCTCTATATTTCTCTTGCATTGTCCTCTTTGAGTTTTGCTTGTTTTATAGTCTCTCTACCTGTACTAGTGCATTAGCACCATGAGAGCTGGGATTTTATCAGTTTCATTCACTCTGTAACCCCTAGAATAATAATAGTACTAGGTACTTAGTATGTACACAACAAATACTGGTTTATATGAGTATATAGAAATGTAAATATTAATTTTATTTGGATATACTAATACAATTGAACTCTTCAGTATTTATTATCTGAAATTATTATACATTGTTTATTTGGAAAGCAGTTTCTTATGGTTATATTTAACTCTGGTGTGCCTTTCTGCCAAAATATTCCAATAAGGATAACCAGAAGCTATATATTAGTATTTTAGTGCCTACCTTATATTAATTTGAGCTTCTTTCTATCCACCCACCTACTTCCCTCTGCTGCAAGATGTCCTTCTCTTGCCAGTTTTCCCTTTTTTAAAAGAAGGTATCAATGGAGAAAGGCCTAACAAAGAAGCAGAGAAATACACTGCCTCTAGAAAGAGATACAGAATATGGAACAAGGAGATAGTAGAGCTCAGTAAAGAACTTTTAGAGCTAACCTTGGTGCTGAAAAAGGAATCTCATAGAAGAGAGCTTGAGAAAGCCCTTGAAATGCCTCAGTACTCAGGGCCACCAGCACCTCTACCCAGGAATGAAACACTACATATCTTGAGTAAAACCCTCCTTACTTTGGAATCAGAAGAAGAGTCAATTTTTACAAAATGTCTCTTGATTTGGAATTTGTGGTTCTGTGATATTTGATTGGTAAAGAAAGGAGGGATTTTAGGTAGAGAAGTATCTTAAGGTAGAACCTTTGTATTTCTCTAAATCATACTTAAATTAGTAATACCAAAAGTAGAATAGTTTTTAATTTTTGCTTTGTATTAAGCATTGTGAGTTTTCACATTAAGAACTACAAGTCTAATTTATACTAAAAGATGTAGTCCTACTTTTAATTTTGAAACAAATTAATTTTGCAAGTGGTAAAAAAATCTCTTCTACTTAAAATTTAACATCAGCAATTGAATTTTAACAGATTTCTTTATTCATTTGTGACATCTAAATACTTCTCAGTGAAAGAAAAGGTAATGTCCTGTTGCTATAAGGATGTGCAGTATTATATTGCCAGGTTCTATATTTTCTGTATAACTTATAGAAGAATGCCAAGTATTTCTTTGAAAGTTGTCTATAATTTTGACTCTATTCAAACAGTATCTCACTAAGTTCTAGTGTTTCATTTGTTAAGCTTGTTTTTTTATTTTTTGCTATGTTCATTAAAACATGTATAAAATTGAAAATACACTTATTTTTCTTTTCCAGTTTTAGAAATAAAGGTAACACTCAGTGATACAAAGATAAAACATTCTATCTCTCCTGCCTTCGGTCCAGGTAAATTTACTGGACAATAAAGAAAAGATTATAGAGAAATGCAGCCTGGAAATTTTTGCGGTTTATTTTTAATCATTGTACTAAATATATAGCCAACTCTGATTCTCAGGGTCTGATTTTGTTAATGTTCTTTTAAAAAAGTTCTTTGACGGGCGCCTGGGTGGCTCAGTTGGTTAAGCGACTGCCTTCAGCTCAGGTCATGATCCTGGAGTCCCGGGATCGAGTCCCACATCGGGCTCCCTGCTCAGCAGGGAGTCTGCTTCTCCCTCTGACCCTCTTCCCTCTCGTGCTCTCTGTCTCTCATTCTCCCTCTCTCTCTCAAATAAATAAATAAAATCTTAAAAAAAAAAAAAAAAGGTCTTTGACAAAGTCCCTGGCACAATAAGTATATATGTATTTGCTTATTTACTCTCTTGTGAGGGCAACAGATAACAAATCAGGTAAATAGATATGTAAAATACCTGGAAGGATGAAGAAAAATAAAGTAGGATAATAAGAGAAAGAATGAGAGGTGCTCCCTCTGTGAAATCTAACTGAAGTCAGGGAGAAATTCATGCAAAAGTTTGGAGGAATAGCTTTCCAGACAGAGAGGCCAGCCAAGTGAAAAGGCTCTTAGATGAGAATGTGCCTCGTGTGTTCCAGGAATAGCAAGAAGTCCAGGCTGGCTTGAGCAGAGAGATCTAGGGGGAAATTGTAGGAGATGAGGCCATTGAGAAATAGCCACAGACCTTATCACACAGGTCCTAGTAGGACACGGTAAAGACTTTGGCTTTTATTCTAGTTACAGATCTGATGATGTATTCAAAAGGAAAGGTAGAATTCAAACATTTGGGAATTATAGGAAAAGATGCAGGGTTTTTAGTATGGCACTAACGCCTCCAGTAAAGGAGACAAGTTTTTCCATTTTACTACTTGTTCGGTTGAGACCTTAGTCTTGTTTGGGACTGTAAATGTGTGATAAAAATCAATACATTGATCTTTATAAGCATTTCAGTTACTGATGTTTTGCTGTTGATATGGATAATCTGTAATTTACTTTGAATAATTATGTATCACATGCTGTTGGTTTCTGTCTTTCTATTTTAAAATAATTCTATGATAAGTTGTATTCATAATCTAATAAGTAATTCCTTGGAAGTAATTTCTGTTTTGATTAGAATCAAATTAATTATTTTAGGTAATTAGGTACATTTTTAAATCATGCTTTAGCACACTTAAAAGGAACCCTAATCATTCAGAAAATCTATTTATACTAATTGCTGTCAGTCTATGTCTTTGAAAAAGATTATCTGATAATATAAAAATCCTCTGCATTTCATTATTTTAGTTTATTTAGCATCATTTTATAGATGCTAAAAATAAAGAGAGTTAAATAACCTGTCCAGTGCCTGAAGCTACTAGATAGAAGAGTATGATTGAAATCTGAGATTTTTTTTTTATTCTACCAGTTTACCAAAGTTATAATTACAGATTTATACCTTATAGATATCAAATTCCATTTCAAATAAAGTCACTCCATTGTGTGGCTAAATTACAACCTAGGTCAACCATTTCTAATAATTAAATGTTACTGAGCCACTGGGGCTGGGCAAAGCAGAATAATAACTATTTTAGTGATAACACTTTTCCAAATGTCTATCATAAATCGTGAATAAATTTCTCATGTCTTCTTCCTGAGCACCCAGACTTTTATTTCTTATGTATATTCAGTTTCAGTGCTTACCAGTTTTGCTCAAATATATGTTACTAGACTATATTAATTTGCCATATAGCAAAATTGTAATTATTTATTCTATGGTTCTATGAAGTAATGAAATGGATATGTTTCTTACGGATTTTATTTCAGTGCTAGTGATGCCATAAAAGGAGAAGGATTGCAAGAAGGTGTAGACTGGCTTCAAGGTACATCGCAAAATACTGTGCATATTCAGCCTTTATTCCTATTCTATTCACATTTTTCTTTCCCTTTTTACATTTCATTTTTATTATATCATTGCCTTTCTCGTTTCCATTTATTTCTGCTGTCAGAAAAAACAATCCAGTAAGTATGCATTACCTTGCTACATTTACTTCTTTGTTTTGTTTTGCTCTGTTTTTTGTTGTTTTTTTTGTTTTTCTCGGTGGTGGTTTGGGTTGTGCGTGCACCCACGCGCATGCTTGCAGAAAGGTGGTTTTATTAAAGCGCAGGAACAGGACCCCTGGGCAGAAAGACCTGCACCAGGGTTGTGAGGAGCAACTGATGCTATACCACGGGGCTGGGGGACTGAGGGAAAAGGGAAGTTTTCGAAAGAACTTTCATATGCTAAAGAGGACTTACAAGATACCAGAGGCCTTGCCCTTTTCAAGTTAAGGTTGTTTTTCCCCCTTTGCAAGGCATTAACATTCAGATAGTTGGGAGCTTCCTGGAAGAATGTCACACAGGTCCCACCCAGGAGTGGGGTTGGGGGGGGATTGCAGGGTGTCAGCTTCTGCTTTGTCTTCAGCCAGCCTTCTGCTCCCTCATCATTTCCCCCCTGAACAATTTTGACCCTTAAATCTTTAAGGTTGTTGAAGGTAGGAGGTCCCATCTTCTGTAACTTCTTCCTGCTGAATAGGGGCATAGAGATGTCCCTACCTATGGGTCAGTATTGTCAGTTGGGGACCATATGGGGGAGTTACAAAAGTTGGAGGCAGCTAAATCCAATGTGGTCAACATATATGAACCTCCATGAGTAGAAAAGATCATCTGTCAGCTGGAAGTTATGGCAGTGAAGGAGTCTTGACACTAGGCAGGGAGACACCAGAAATAACAAAATAAGGTTAATATTGTAATGAGAAAGAGAAATCTGAATGAAAGAACTTTGATAGTTGACCTTTGATAATTTTCCTCCAGGCCAGGAGTTTAAAGCAATCACTAAAGGAAAGAGAGATCATTTAAAGTGCCAATTGGAGTCTTCATTCATTTAGAAACCCAGATATATTTTTGTGGTAATCTGGAATGTATATGCAGCATTTTGTTTTTATGTTAGCACACGTTTCACCCTGAGTAGCAGTTTAAAACATCTAATGCCACTCTATTTTGTAAAACTGCTTCATACATTTGTATTACTTTAGTATTTAATAGAGAAGTGCCATTTTGAGTGTCATTTAGGGCTTTGACCGTGTACTAATTAAGAGCTTCCATGTGCCACACATCCTGTAGTTTCAAAGAGGGAACAAAGATGGATGCTAGGTGGTCATACCAATGTAACACAAAACGTGTCCATCATTGTTTTAAATTTGGAAGGTTGGCTGGATTGGTAATGGTTTTAATAATGCATCTATGCATTCAGGCGAAAACCAAAGTACAGTGGCCTACCCAGCCTGGGGGAAGCTATGGACACAAGTTAGAGCTACATAGTCAGTGGGTCCATTAGGAGCCAGACATATAATGTTGGGCATCCTTTAACTGGAGTTAAGATATCAAGGGCTATTCAGTTTTAGAGGGCCACTTTTTGAATTTGTTGGTGACAGCCATGTCATGCTTAAAGGTGGTCACTGTGTGCTTGGCTAAAGTCTCGACTTGTAATTTTACATTAATAGAGGTAGTTCCTGGGACAAATATGACTAAGGAATAAAACCATCAAGAAGCTGTCTTTGTTTGAGGTCCAGCCTTAACAATATCGTAATTAAAAGGAATCACTGTTAAGTGAGAGACTTGTCTCAAGCGATAAGGGCATCCCCAAGTGCATCATCCAATCTAATCACAGAGAAAGTGGGGTTGTCCATTATCTCCACAAGTCCATAGTTAACCTCATGGAGCAGGGTACGTTCCAGCTTTTAAGGAAAATTTTCATCATCCTATTCACACAGAATTGGTCAAGGTGATAGTTGAGTTATAGAGTTATTGGGGGATTAATCCCATTTTCCAGTTGTTTAAATAATCATATGCCCATGGGATCCTGTAATTATCCCCACAGAATAACAAGCAATAAGATTATCTATCTATGAGCTATTATGTAGAAATAGAAAAGCTATTTCTCTGAAGTTACCTCAAGTTGTCTAACTTAAGCAAACATTTAAGGACAATCAAAACTAGGATTTAACATCCACAAAGGTGGGTTATTGAAACATAATTTTTCTCTCTAAAATAACCCTCATTTCCAGAGATAGCCAAATCAAGACTAATTTGTTTACAAAACAAGTCCAATTTTAATAAACTTGGCCTAATTATTTACATAAACCCAGCAAGAATAATGGTCATATAGATCTTTTAGAATCTGCTTTGCTGGAACTTTTATAAGGAATCTCTAGGTTGAACTTTTAGTAGCCTCTCCAGGTCAGAAGCCAAGCCAAGTACTTGCCATCAGACATGCCTGCCATACCTGTAGATTTGGGCGGATTCCTCTTCATGAGGTCTGCAGTATATCCTGAGGTTCCTGCACTTGCCAGGAAGTGATTCTTTACTCACCTGGTGAGGCTGCTGAGAACTCTAAGCAAGGTATCAGGCCAACATTTCCAAGGGGCTTTATGGCTCCCTGTTTTGTAAAGTCAGCCTTAGTTCCTCAAAGCTGTTTGGTCATATCTGAGTCTATGCATGTCTCTCTCAAATATGACATTCCAGTCAAAGCCTTGATAAAATAACTAATGTTTCCAATGGTGTCCTGTTACAAGGAGAACAGAAATAATAATAAAAATTTTAAAGTATTTAACTTTTTTTTCTACCTGAACCCTCCAAAATTCAAAAGTCTCAGTAAGTATTCTTTCTTCCATGACAATCATAGTCATTTATATAAGTTTAATAAGAATCTGTTCTCCTTGTAACAGGCTACATTTACTTCTATTACATTTTTCTGAAGGGTTTATTTAAATAAAGAATTTGCATCTTTACAATCAATATACTTGACAACTCTAGGAAATAATTTTAGTTTATGGCAACAAATTTCTGTCAGATCTAGTGATAGAAGCACATTTGAAGTTTGGGACAAATTTCAGGCCTTACTGTCAATAATTAAAAATAAGCTTGAATAGAATATATCTTCTAAGAATCATGCTGAACTCTACGTATAGCTCCACTTATACATGTTTACACAAATTTTAACACTCATTTAGTATTGTAAATACCGGTATTCTATTGATGTTTTGTATATTGCAGTTTTGTTATTCATCAAAATAGCTATCATTGATTGGTACAGTCTTACCATATCAAGGAATAAATTAAGATATATCATTTCCTCTAAGATTACATTGTTTACTAATCACAGGAATGGATTGAAGCAGTGACCCACACAGAGCAATAGATGTGGATGAAACCAAGTTCTGTAGGTCCTTTTATTACAGGGCCCTGAGTCAGGCTAAAAAATGTCCATTTGTGAGCGAACTTGAGGGGAGTCATTCCTATCAGGAATCTCCCAGCCCTGAACAAGAGTGAATAACAAAATATTATTAATTCTAGTTATAGTCTTGTGGCTGTAAATTTAATTTCTTTTACACTAACCTTTTAATGCCAATTATATATGTAATTTTGTTTTCTCTTATGCATATCCTGGTGAATCTAAGAATAGCCTGCTTGACCATACATAAAGAGACATAATATCTCTTTGGTTCAGAGTATTAAATGTACATCTGATAAATATTTTTATGTGTTATTAGTAAAATATAGTATTTTAATAAACTGCATAGACTATTGTATTTCTTTTTTTGTTTTTATGTAGATATCATGACATTTACTATTAAACTACAAAGAATGTTTTAGTCATACTTTACAATTAAGTAAAATATAACTGAGAACCTCTAATGGTGATAAAGAACTGGTTTACACTTCTGATGATTTGATGGGACTTATTCCCATATAAAATAGTTTAAGGAGCAGTGTTCTACAGAAGACACCAGAAGCATATGTTCAGCCTTGATTTCTTATTTTCCCGGTGCTTACTGCTCACAGTGAAGATATAGCAGGGATAAAATCCTACTGTTGCTCATGAAAACATAGTACCTACTGAAAATAGGTTAAGAAATTGTAGTTCTCGCTTCCTTTTTTCTTTTTTTGGTATATTTTGTCTGTAATAATGAGGCCACTAGGTGTCAGTAACGATCCAACATCACAGTGCCACTTGCCAACTCTGGTTTTATTACCCAATTTTTGTGTCTGATTTCTCTGATTCATTATCTTTGTATCTTACTTCCCTTTTTGTAAGGAGGATATACTGTTGGAAATATTTTTGTGCCTTTGTGTTACCAAATTATTTTATGTAACTTTTAGAGCGGTTTTCTGTGAACAGTTTCCCTATTTTATGTAGGGAACATAGGGTAGTAATAAAAAGCATTTGAGCTTTTGAGTTTAGCAGATTTATTCTACTACTTATCAACTAATTATTAACAATTTTCTGTTATTTTCTTTTGAAGATAATTTTCATCACCTATACAATTAAAAAATAAAATGTCAAAAATTGTATGGATTAAATGAAACACTGTGTTAAAGTGCCTAGCCTAAGAAAAAAACCCAATAAATGTTAAATTTACCCTTTTACCTAACTACTCTCTATTTAGGAGAGGAGGAAACTTAGTACACAGATTGAAGTGTTATCAGCTTGGTTTTGAATAGGAGAGCCTTTGTTCATCTTTCCTATGTAATAGTAAATAGTTTACATTTTGATTCTCCAGACTCTTTCTCTGGATTTAAAAAGAGGTAAAAACCTAATCTGCAAATTAGGTAGCAGTAGATACAGGAGACTAGTCCATGCCTGTAGCCAAAGGTTTTTATGTAAATTTAACTGTGAAAGATATTCTGAATTTATATTTCTTCATTTTGCTTCCAGAATTCTGAAATTTCCTAGCATGATAAACAAGAAAGCCTCTGGTTGATTTTGCACCAATTTAATCTTATTATTTTAAGGTTAAAAAATGTTGAGTAAAATATTAAATGACATATTTTGTGCCATGATTCCATTCTCTTTCGGAAGGATTTTCAATAATTACATACATATTATAACCCAAAGACAAGAACCCCTGAGTAGACTATGAAGTATTTTTTAAAACCACCAAAGAATGTACAGAAACGACTGCAGAAGTGTAAGTTGTATTCTAGCTCTGAAACTTTCAAATGAGATATTTCTAAAAAAATCTTTCTAAAAGACTAATCTCATTTTATCACTTTATCTGTTTGGGAAAAGCTAATGCTTCCAAGGTCTTAAAATAAGACTTTTATAAACTTATGCATGTGGGTATTCCAATGAAAGATAGAGGACTGAGCACATACTTAGTTTCATCCCCTTCTCAAATCTTACTAACAGTAAGGGGGCTTTTGTTTAAAGACATTATCCTACAAGGGCAAAAAAAAAAAAAATGGAAGTGACAAAAATGGCAACCAAATTTCAGAAGCTGGATGTCTGATGAATGTTGAATGACTTAACAGACCTGAGAATGGTGAATTCTAAACTAGCACTGAGGAAAGCTGGAAAGCATCCCACTTTACGATGCAGATACCCTCAAAGGCTCAGATATTGATGGGAAGTGGAAAGGATGAGGTGGGGCTGAAAAGAGAGACAGTTATACTTTCTTGCCCTCCAAAAAGATTGAAGGTTCATTCTTTCAGAGAGTCAAACAGAGTATCTCTGGACTAGGGTATACCAAACACCAACTGTGTGTGGCAGTGCTGATCTGAAAATGAGGAATAACTGAAAGTTTTATACCAAATAGTATAATCCTCTTCTGCCTTCTCCTACTTCTCCAAGAAGACACTGGCAGTAGGTAGGATATAGAAAGTCATCTTTAAGGAATCAGACCAGTGAGAGAAAAGACCTAAAAGTATTAACACCAAAGATTCCCAAGAAAATGGTGTAGCTGGCTACACTAGAATAAAGACCACATTTGACAAGCCTCACACACATACTGAAATTTCAGTCAGCTTTATAGTGTTCATTCATACTTATGAGAAGATGGCAAAGGATCACCAGGCATTTGAGGACCAAAACATTATAAATTATGGAACATCAACAAACCAAAAAAGCCCGTTAGAGGAAGTAGAATTTTTTAGGGAGAACATTTCAAGAAACTATCATAGAGATAAGAAAAGGTATTACTTTCATGAAAATGACCAGGAATACTACTTGAAAAGGACCAAAGGGGAAAAAAATAAGTTCTTGAAAATAATAGAACAGAAGAAATGGAAAACTCAATAAAAAGAAGATGAAATAGAGGCATTCTCTCAGAAAGTACAGCAAAAAGATTGGAAAGAAAAGAAAGTAGGAGGCCCAATATCCAAATAACAGGAATTTTAGAATGAGCAAAGAGAGAAAATAGAGGGGAAAAAATTTATCAAATAAATCACCAAATGGTATTTTCCAGAACTGATGAGTTTTTAGTTGAAAGGCTTCTTGAGAGCCCAGTGCAGCAAATGAAAATATTACCACACCAAGGCTCACTATTACTTAATTTCAACACTGAAGACAATGGAAGATTCTACAAGCTTCCTGGGAAGAAAGTAAGTTTCATGTAAAGGATAAGGAAGCAGAAATAGCATCAGACTTCTAAACATCAACATTTGGAAGCTGTTAATTGGGCAATGCCTGGAAAAGTCCAAGGAGAAAATAATGAAATTATATGCTCAGGCAGTATCAGTGTATTGTGACTGTAGAATTAAGACATCTTCAGCCATTCACAGTCTCAAGAATGTACTTTCTATACTTTTTACTAAAGTAGCCATTGAAGGTATACTCTTCAAAGACAAGGGAATAAACCAAGAGGAGAAAATAAGAGACCACAAAACAGGAAAACCAGTATAAGAGCGTGTGGGAAAGATCCTCAGGATGATAATGAGAGATACTGAAATCCTAGAATGATAATGAAAGATCTCTTATGAAGATAGCTGGGCAAGCATAGAGAACAGCTGGTCCAGATTAGAGAGTTTTGGAAGACTCTTAAGGGAGAATTCTTCAAGAAAGTGAAATTCATAGGCTATGTAATGTGTTTCATAATAATAAAGGTTTAAACAGTGTGGGAGTAATGGCAATGAATTAGTGTTAAGTACCTTAAAAAACTAAGCAGACAGGCAGGATTGGAGAATGAGGCACACTTATTAAAACAGGGAAAATGAAATGTAGAAGAAAGGAATAGTGGGGGAGGGGGATACAACCTGTCTCAGGTGTGAATAGCATGTACGTAGTCATCACATTGATGACTAGATTACTATGGTAGAAGAATGGGAGTGCTGGAAGCATAATGAGACTTGCAGGGCAGCAGCGTAGAGTGTGTGAGAACTGAAGCCTCATATTACATTGAAGGAACTGATATTTCAAAAAGTAATGATAAAAGTATATTATTTAGAGGTACAGAGGTAAATCTCCTAAGGGATTAGAAGTGGTTACCTATGAAAGGAGAAAGAGGACCTGAGCCAAGGGACATTTTTCATACAAACTTTGGAGAGGTTCTCCAAAAATTTGTATGAAAAATGTCCCTTTGGAGAAGAAACTTTGGAGAAGTTGTTTGGAGAAGTTCTCCAAAAGTTTGTGTGAAAAATGTCCCTTTGGAGAACTTTGGAGAAGTTCTTTGGAGAAGAAACTTTGGAGAAGTTCTTTGGAGAAGTTCTCCAAAGTTTGTATGAAAAATGTCCCTTTGGAGAACTTTGGAGAAGTTCTCCAAAAGTTTGTATAAAAAATGTCCCTTTGGAGAACTTTGGAGAAGTTCTCCAAAAGTTTGTATGAAAAATGTCCCTTGGCTCAGGTCCTCTTTCTCCTTTCATAGGCAACCACTTCTAATCCCTTAGGAGATTTACCTCTGTACCTCTAAATAATATACTTTTATCATTACTTTTTGAAATATCAGTTCCTTCAATGTAATACGAGGCTTCAGTTCTCACACACTCTACGCTGCTGCCCTGCAAGCCTCATTATGCTTCCAGCACTCCCATTCTTCTACCATAGTAATCTAGTCATCAATATGATGACTACGTACATGCTATTCACACCTGAGACAGGTTGTATCCCTCTCCCCACTAACAAACAAACATAGGTGTGTGGGGTGCCTAGGTGGCTCAGTTGGTTAAGCGACTGCCTTCGGCTCAGGTCATGATCCTGGAGTCCTGGGATCAAGTCCCGCATCGGGCTCCCTGCTCAGCAGGGAGTCTGCTTCTCCCTCTGACCCAACCCCCTCTCATGCTCTCTCTCTCTCTCTCTCTCTCATTCTCTCAAATAAATAAATAAAATCTTTAAAAAAAAAAAAACATAGGTGTGTGCATAGGCTTCTACAGTGTTTTAATAGATTTTTCTTGGATTACTTTAGAAAATGGATTTTGCCTGTGGAGACTGATAATTTTTTGTTTGGTTTTTGTTACCAGATCAGATCCAGGCTGTGAAGACATGAAAAGATAGTATTTGGAAACCTCAACAATTTTCAATTCAAGGAATGTATCTTAAGGCAAACTGAATACTTCAAATTTTTTAAAAGATGTTTGTGCATCTAAGAATACTAAGACTTTATAATCTTCTGCTTGCATTTATGGATTCTGAATGAACTTTTTAAGAACATAGGACTTCAGGTATGCTAATATGACCATTAATTTAAAATATTAAAACTAAATCTTTCCTCAGAAGGGCTCCTTCCCCAGAATTATCAACTTCTTGGTAAAAGTCTACATTTGATTGTAATTAGAATGTTTAAAGTCAGATTTATAAGCCATCTCAGTATCTCATCATGATTTGTAATATCTTTAATGCATTTTATTTTTTAAATTGTCTTCTGAGATTTAGTTTATGATATAACTCTGCAGTATGATTGTGCTTGGAAAAAGAACTTTAAATATTTATAAGGGACCATGGGTAATTAATATATACATAAAATTTTTACTATATGTCACTGTCAATAAAACACAATATGCAGTGTACCAACTAGTGTACTTTGTTTATGCTGAAAAGAATAACGCTGTGTTGTCATAATATTTAATGTTTTACTGTCAAGCATTTGTAAATTATCTGAGACAGAATTAAGCTGAATTTATCCAGTGAATGTGTATTGAACCTCTCTGTACCTACACTAGTCTGGCATTGTCCTAGGCAATGGTGATACAAGGTAAATAAATCAGATATATTCTTTATCCTTAGAGAACTTAAAAATTAATGAGGGTGATTTTGAGAACCTTTTCATACATAGTATCGATTTTATTTCATTGGCTGAATGAATATCTTGAATTTTAAGATTAAGAGGTATAAAAGTGAATTAATCTGATTCTTCAATAATTATTTTAACTGACCTCTTGTTTCTTTAAAATGTGTCTTTGTTAAAATAGATTGTGGCTCATCAAACTATGTCTTTCCTGAGCATAAACTGCTACAAAAATGTTCTTTAGAATTTTAGACACATCTCAGTATCTACTCTATGCAAATTGTGTTCTCAAAACTTAGAGACCAGTTATAATTGTGAACTCAGAATGGAAGCTTTCATTTTAAATTAACCACTAGAAAACAGTATATAGAGCAGTGGTGTCAATCCTGAAAAACATTGGATATAAAGAACAACTGTAATATACAATGTGTAAAACATCTTAAATGTCCTTCACTGTGAAAATGATAAAAACAGGAGGCAAGGGGCGCCTGCGTGGCTCATTGGTTGAGCATCTGCCTTTGGCTTGGTCATAGTCCCAGGGTCCTGGCATGGAACCCCCTGTCCTCCTCCCTCTCCTCCTCCCTCTCCTCCCCACTTGTGCTCTCTCTTGCTATCTCTATCTCTCTCTCTCAAATAAATAAAATCTTTAAAAAATAAAATAAAATAAAATAAAAAACAGGAGGCAAAAGGTAAGTGAGTAATACTAGGTGTGTTATCGTAACTGTGGTACTGGTGTATGTGTCATAGAGATGTGAATAAAATCATTTTAGGGGCGCCTGGATGGCTCAGTCGTTAAGCATCTGCCTTCAGCTCAGGTCATGATCCCAGGGTCCTGGGATCGAGCCCCGCATCGGGCTCCCTGCTCAGCAGAAGCCGGCTTCTCCCTCCCCTACTCCCCCTGCTGTGTTCCCTCTCTCGCTGTGTCTCTCTCTGTCAAATAAATAAAATCTTTAAAAAAAAATAAAAAATAAATGAAATCATTTTTAAACTATAATAAAGTTCTGTAATTCAGTTTCTCTTAGTCCAAAAATCCCAGTGGTTTAGAATTTAGCAAATTAAAAGTTATCCAGTAGTCCAGCATTTTAGCTAGCTTGCAGGCCTCTCATAAATTGTTTTGATGAGGATACAAAGTGAGATTCTCATTAATTTAGAGTTGCCTTAAATATAAAAAGGACATGAAAACACTGTAATTCAACAAAATACTTATATGCTGTAGTTTAGGAGGATAGGAGAATAGTTTAGGAGGCTGGAGAAAGGGTGTATTAGAATTCAAATCCTCATCCACCAGAACTATTATAATAACAATAACAACAATAATAATAGCTATCACTATATGAACACTATATTTTGGGGCTAGATATTATTACACATACTGGATTTTGCATTATTTGTCACAATAACCTTGTATGGTAGGTAGGTTTTATTATTTGTTTTATAGACAAGGAAACAGAGACCTAAAGAAGTTATTTGCTAAATGTCACTAGTAAATGCTGGTGGCTGGGATTTAGAACCAAACCATCTGTTTAAGATAGATGAATTCAAGAGACAAGAGTATTACAGATAGTGGAAATACAGAGCTATCTGCCACAAGGATAGCTAAAAGGATTGAAAAGGCTCTCATTGAGGTGGGAGACCAGGATGAGGTGGGAAAGTCAGAAAAGTGACTACTATTTTGTTTTTAATTTTTTCTTGTTTTAAGTCTCTAAACACTTCAGATTTTCAGCTCGGGGTATATATGACTAATAAAAATACTTCTTAAAACTTTGCTGATACTAAGTTAATTGGTATTCCACAAACTACAGTAACTCACATCTATGCAAATATTTAGAAGAAAAGTACTGACTTTTTCCTTAGTTTCCATTATCTCCAAATCTATAAACATCTATTCTACTCTACATTTTCGTGTGAAGATTATGTAGAAGCACATTGGACTACAGGATGCCATAAAACTGTGGATAAGCTGAGGTTATTGCATTTGTATTTAACATAGTATACAATTAAAGTTTATTGCATTAAAACTCAATTAAGTGTTTTTTCATGTTTATACATCACTGTTACAAAGTTTAATTCATTAAGCTCCATATTTCAATATAAACACTTCATAAAATGTTCAAAACTTATCTTATTGTATGTATTGCATTTAAATATTTATATGTGGCCCTATTCAGCCTGTGCCTTGTAAATCACAAAAGAGCTGAGTTTTATATATTTGTTTTTCATTTATAGGTTGTCTGCTAAAAATTGTCAATTATTTCTTGATTGCTTAAGTTATTTTTTTCTTTGGAATTCTTAGCATAACACATTGTGATTTCCATAAATATATGCAATTACTCTTGAGAATACTTAAGGCAGATACATCCTATGTGTAACTTTGGTACATTAAAATGCTGTAGCATTTTAACTATGCATATTTTCTGCTTTCTGATTATTCTCTTCTTAGTTTAAAAAATAAAACAGATTAAATGTTCACTTAAATAGATTTAAAATAGGTTTGTCCATTTCTTTGGCTGGGAAGAAATACTGTAATAATAGAAAATTGGTTATTGTGTTTAATTGAATGTTTCAAGTAACTTAGTTATTATATCTTCATACTGAATCTTTCTCATTAAGGATGCTCCTGCTGGGATTTGCAAGGGACTGTTTCAGGACCATCACTGACTCTTCCTTCTGGTCACTCAATTTTAATGCCACACTTGGAGTTTCATCAGTGTACAATGCTAAACTTTTTCTATAAACCAAGAGGGACAAATTAAATCCTTCTCCAAATTTGAAGTCACCAAGTAATGCTACATACAAGTCACAGAGGAATAGTAGGTATTTTTTTTTTAAGATTTTTTTTTATTTGAGAGAGAAAGCACAGAGGGAGAGTATGAGGGAGAAGCAGGCTCCCTATCGAGCAGAGAGCCCAATGCGGGACTCAATCCCAGGACCCGGGATCATGACCTGAGCCGAAGGCAGACGCCCAACCGACTGAGCCACCCAGGCGCCCCAATAATAAACATTTTTATAGCCTTTACTATGTGCCAGGAACTTTCCAAGCACTTTACATGTATTAATTCATTTAATCCTCTTGACAACCCTATGAAATACATGTTATTATCTCTGTTATATAGATCAGGTGTCAGCAAACTACCAATCTGGTTCTGTATGGCCTTTGAGCTAATAATTTTATATTTTTAAAGGATTAATTAAGAAAAAAAGAAGGAGCAACAGATACTGTAATGTGATCCACAATGCATAAAATTATTTACACTATGGGGCTTTACATAAAAATGGTCAACCCCTGTTACAGTGCAATAGGGGACCCTGAATTTTGAGCCTAGACAATCTGGCTCCAGAATCTATGTACTTAACCTCTATGAGGTTTGTCAAAAAGCTGAAGATTTTCTAAAATGGAATAGAACAATTTGAAATTACTTCTTTCTTAAATAATTATGTTAAGTATGAAAAATTAGATTCAAATGCCTAAAAAGTAATGCTCTTTGAAATCTTTTTTTCTCCCCTGGTAAGATTGATGTCCTGGCCTTCTGAAGTCTTTCCTTCCTTTTCTTTAAATGAGTAGCAACACATTGGGCAGATTCTGAAACATCAGACATGTTAATATTTTAAAGATTTATTTATTTATTAGAGCAAGTGCACACATAGTGGGGCAGGGATAAAAAGGGAAAGGGAGAGAGAGTCCTAAGTGGACTCCATGCTGAGCACAGAGGCTGATGTGGGGCTCAATCTCGCCATCCTGAGATCACTACCTGAGCCAAAACCAAGAGTCATACACTTAACCACTTAACTCACTGAGCCAGCCAGGCACCCCTGGACATGTTAATATTTTAAAGTATAACCACACACACAAGTTATCCCCAAGCATGTGGCTTGACCTTCCAGATTTCCCAATGACTTTTATCAGCATTTTGACGTCAATGATAACTACTGTTGAGAATCGAAATATATATGGTAAAATGTGGAAACATTTATGATTCAATTTGTGGATATGCATTTTTTTTTTTTAAGATTTATTTATTTTTAGAGCACAAGTCAGGGAAGGGGCAGAGGGAGGGAGAATCTCAAGCCGACTCCCCACCAAGCGTGGAGCCCTGTGTGGGGCTCAATCGCATGACCCATGAAATCATGACCTGAGCTGAAGTCAAGGGTAGGACACTTAACTGACCGAGCCACCCAGGCACCCTGTGGATATGCATTTTAAGTGACCACAAGTAACAACTATAGGTAAAAATATTTTCTTAATTACAAACTTCATGGTTATGCCTGCATCTTCTAAATTTTTCCCATGTGACTAGTAAGTACAGCATATATCCATCCATAAAGGATGAGATCTCAAATTAGTCTCTCTCTCTCTCTCTCTCTCTCTCTCTCTCTCTCTTTCTCTCTCATTCTCCTTTGGAAAAGTTTATAAATTATTCCAAATATTCTATGAAATACCTTAATGGAGTAAACTATTACTGAAATAGGTTTATGCTTCTTCCAATTAAATGTAATCATTAATGTTGGCAGTTAAAGCCAATTTCACATTCAAGCTCTGTCTTAGCCTTAGTGTAATCTGTGTGTGTGTGTGTGTGTGTGTGTGTGTGAGAGAGAGAGAGCATGCGCACACATGTTCACACTTCACTCACCCCAGTGACCATTAACTTTTCTCCTTCAGCTTTCTCAGGCAGATTCATAGATCTATCTTGCAAATATGTTATTCTTACCATGTTTTAGGCTTTTTTTTTAATTTTCTTATTTGTTTTTATAACTTTTAAATGTGACATATCAACTCTTGTCATTTCTGGAAACCTTATTGTTTATTTGATAGAGTTTTAATGTATTTTTAGATGCTGGATTATTAATGTCTTAAATACTATCTGCTAATTCAGTAAGTTTAATTTATACATTCACAAAATATAACTTACCCTTTTTTACATTATTAAACCCCTATACTATGAATAATTTTATTTCATTTATGCATAGCAGGACAAGATTTTTAAAGAATAAAAAAATTTTCAAAACCCTATGTCAACATGGGATCTTGTTAATGTTAAAAATTAGTTTTTCTATTATGAAATACCAAATCTAAAACAGGACTAGTTCTTAAATGTCAATGGTATGTTTTCTTTTTAAAGGGGTATGTTGGTCTCTATAAAAGCAAGAGGCAATGTTTTTCTGCTAATTAGATCTTCAGGTATAACAAGCAGAGATATTCAGTACTCAACACAGAACTTTTCTATATGGGAAATGAATATAAACTTAAGAAATAGACTATAGTTCTTTCTTAAAAGAGATTAGAACAGGCCTGAGGCTTCCACTCAATAGTAAGTAGGCATTTTCTTAGCCTTTCTATGAATAGGACCCTACATAAAATAGCATTCAAACAGCAACTATGGTTAGGAACCCTGCAATTGTATGTCCTTTTAATGTATCAGCAGAATTACTAGCACTGCAAAGACCTTATTTAGGTTGAAAGGTTATACAGTACCCTGTGTTTAACTTAATTACATCCTTA